CACTTTTTATTTTCTTATATGTTTTACAGTTATTTGTGTACATATCATTTTCCCTATTTGATTATAAATTTCTTAAAGGTAAATAGTGGAGACTTTTGTTCTTCCTTTTTTTTTTTTGGTGAGGCAGTTGGGGTTAAGTGACTTGCCTAGGGTCGCACAGCTAGTGACTATCATGTGTCTGAGGCTGGATTTGAACTCAGGTGCTCCTGGCTCTAGGGCTGGTGCTCTATTCACTGTGTCACCTAGCTGCCCCAATAGTGGAGACTTTTGAGAGTTCCTTAGATACAAGAAGGTCAAATCAGTCAATACTTAAAGAAATTAATTCAAGCTATCGATTGGAAGGTCAAATACTGAAGCTGAAGCTTAAATACTTTGGCCACATAATGAGAAGATGGGGACTTATTGGAAAAGACCCTGATGTTGGGAAATACTAAAAGCAAAAGAAGAGGACAGGGCAGAGGATGAGATGGATAGATATGGAAACATGGAAGCAATGAACATGAACTTGGATAGACTTTGAGAGACAATGGAGGATAGAAGGGTCTGGAATCTTTGGTCCATGAGGTCAAGAAGAGTCAGACAGAACTGAATATTAACAACTAACAACCAAAGGCAAGGATTGTCGTAGTTTATATTTGTATTCTCAGTACTCAGCCTGTGAATAAGTCTAATGGTCCCCAGTTGGCTGCAGAATAGCCTAATAATAACAAAAAAACCCCCAAAAAACTTTCCCCAGGCTTTCTTGCTAATAAGATCATGGCATTGGAGATGCCTCAACATCACAGCCTTCATTTTGAGCATGGCCCCCACCAGCCATTCTTCATTCCCCTTCTAGGGTCTGACTTCATCATAATTACCTTTCTACCCTCATGCTTTACAATTCCCTTTTGTGTGTTATCTTCCCACGTTAGAATGTAAGCTCCTTGAGGGAAGTGACTGTCTTTTTTTTTCTTTTTTATTAATTTATTTTGATTTATCCACAATCACTTCCATAAGCTTTTGAGTTTTAAATTTTTCTCTCCTCCCTCTCCCACTTCCTCCCCCAAGCCGGGGCCTAATCTGATATAGCAGACTGTCTTTTTGCTTGTATTTGTATCCAGTTTATTAGCATGGTACCCGGCACTGAAAAAGCACTTAATAACGTCCTTAGTCTTCCAGGCTCTTCTTTCCTGGCTCATGGCTCCTCCCATTGCCCTCAACCTTACTCTGGTCTTCCTTCTTTTACTTTCCTCCTACTTTTTTTCTTATTTTCCAGGCTTTCCTTATGGACAAGCATTCAAACTTCAATTATGAAGGCAGATTAAAAAAATTGAAGTGTCTTAACAGGATTTTTATCAGTCCTAACATCACTTGCAAATGAATTACTTGGGAACTAACTTAGCTGAGGCAGCACATCTGTGTATAGGTACCATCTGGAGAAAAATGTTCTGCAAGGGTGTAGTCACCATCCCCAATTTCAGTTCTCTGTATTAGCATACTGTTATCACTTTAGCTAATGTTAGAATAACTGGGCTTGAGAACAATAATGTGTGTTTGATTTTTTTTTAAAACTCATTTTATTAAGTTATTCATCAGATACAATGCAAAGAATAGTATACGCCAGGAGAGAGACTAGAAATCAAGAAACACATATGCTTAGGAAGCACTGCAAGAGGCTTCATTATCTAGTACTGATTATGCAGATCTTTTCAGCTGTTCATATTGTAGGACAATATAAAAAAGGCAAAAGAGATGAACAGTTGGTTTCTTGACTAAAGAAATACTCCTGTTTACAATATTGTTTGTATATGAAGTACAAGATCTATTAGTCTTCAGGGGACAGATGTGACTCAGAAACACAATTATATCTGAAACCTAGAGAGTGAACAGTTTTCTTATAAGTGACATTTCTATCAGCTGGAGTATTTATAAATGAGATTTTACTCAAAAAATCCCAACATCAGATTTCCAAACATGGAAACCAAGGCTTTGTTTCTTTAATATGTGAGCAGCTTGACAGGGCTCAGTGATGATAGCTGAGGAATAGACAACTCTAAAATAATGTTTAGTATGACTATATATGTAGCCCCTGGACACTCCCCTCCCTTGCTTTTAAGTAGAATTCATATTTTATTTAGAACTGCTAGTAACAGGTCATGTTTCTGAAATTTCCAGAATTTTTTTTTATATAAACACTTAACTCCCAGTTAGATTTATTCCCACCTTCCCACACCCTTCCTTTGCCTTAAGTGTCTGATTTAAGTTCTTAGTTTAACTGAATATACTCTGGTAGCCTCAGAGGGGACCTCTTTTAGTGTCTACTGAACAAAAAATGAGTTTGGCTGGTGAAAAATAAAAAGAGAAAGCAATAGAAAAGCCTACTGTTATGTTTTGGAATCTCTTATTTCTTACTCAAAATAATTCAACTCCATTGCACATTTGGAAATCCTGGACATTTACACTTGCAATGCCAAGCACTGAACTCAAGCATCTCTTTAACTAAAGCTAATTAATACTGCTAAAAACAAGCAATCAACAAACAGTAACACTTTCTTCTTCTCAAGTTATTACCTTCTCGACTTCTTCATAACCTCCTTGTGGCCCACACTGGAGAACATATTCTAGAGAAACTGCTCTTTCTGGGCTTCTCTACTTCCCAGATTGGTGACTAGTTCTCCCCATCATAGTTTCAGGAAAGCTCCAGCCAGGATTCTTTTAACTCCCTTTTGTAAAAGCCCCTCCTCCACAAAATACCTTTCCCTTTCCTCCTTTGGGTCCCCCGGACCAACAACCAAGATCAAATCAACTCTGCCATTGTTCCTGCATGGGGTGTATCTATGCATCCCCCAGATCCATTCCCTACTGTCATCCTTTTAATTTATCATCCATCCCCTTAATTTAGTCCTTCTCTGGCTTCTACTCTTCTATTATATGTTCTCTCTGCCTTTAGAATGTAAAATCCTTGAGGGCTGAGACAGTCTTTGCTGTATTTGTATTCTCAGTCATTAGCACAGTGCTTGGCACATTCTTTCAAAAACAAAACACCCTGCCACAATAGACTGGGCTTTTCAAGAATAAAAATCTATATTCATGGACTGAATTTTACATATATGGATCTTTTCAGGACCATTATTGTGATTGTGTTCTATGTTAATGCTTCCTATTCCCTCTTCCCCCAAATATTTCATAATCCCTTCATTCGGCTACCTAAGAAAACAAGACATTTCTCCCCAAATGATTGTGTCAATAACGAGGGTTTCATGTTGAATCAGAAAATGGTCATGCAGGGAAGAGGTTGTGTAAAGGTTTTGTGGGTAGGGTTGAAAAACTTTTTCTTTCCCTTGTCACTTGGGTTTTCAATGAATCCTTGCAGAAAACTGTAAAGCCAATTTGACTGGAGAAGGGGAGGGGTATCAGTCACAGTTTGATTAGTCTTGCGGTGCCTTGAGTCAGTGCTGAAGTTACAGGGCTTAAGTGCAAGGTCCGAGAAGGCCATCCTCCTCTGAGATCTGCAATGCTACCTTGATAAATTCCTTTGGCTTCAGCAGTTCTTCTCCAGGCTTCTCTTAAAAGTTCCCTCAAGGAAAATAAGAGGGTGAATCTGAAATATCTTAGTGTCAATGAATTTAGCAATTCCTTTCTCCCCTGAGTGACTGACTAGAGAAATTCCCAAGTTGCCTTTAGGGAATTAAAAGGGTCCAAAAGGCAAAGAAAGAAGGTAGAGGAGAGGCCTTTAAGATCTTGCCCACTGCAGTTTTTTCTGGGACTAGCTCTATTCTAGATAGTTCATTGTCAGGGTATGAAGCTCATATCACCTTATCAAAAACATTCAAAATTCAAAAGAATTTTGAAGAAATTGGGTGATAATTTATCTTCATAGTATTTTTTTTTTTGGTATCATCCACCCACCAGGCTCTGCCACTCACTGCCCATGAGATCCACGTGTAGTGAGAGGGTTGAGAGACAAGTGTGATTTTGTGGCCAGAGAGCCAACCTCTCTAGTGCCTGCACGTAGTAGGCACTATATAAATGTTAGCTGTTGTTGCTGCTGCTGCTGCCTTTTGGGGTTTATAAGAAGCTACTTATTTCCTCCTTACTGTTTCTGTGCTCCAACATAGCTGTTACAACTATCAGTTAAAAATATCTAAAAATACCACTCCCCATTCTGCCTTGGTAGTTTAAGGGACTGTGGCACACTGAGACTACTTAGGGAGAATGAACCCAAGAAGGTTTTGGGGGGCATACCTGATGAAGGAATGAAAGATATCTATAAAGATATTTATCTTATTGCTTCTCCATAATTATTTTGAGTAGAATTTTTGTTTTGAAGTGGGAGGGCATTACAAGAATTGAATAATTTCTTAAGTCATTTTTGCATTGTTTTGGTAGGAATTTGCATGATAATTTTACTCAATAGAGCCCTGAATGCTATTTACATCTAAGAAAATGAAACAAAACTCCTTTTATGTATGTGTCAGATGCCTTATGTTTACTTTAGTCTATTATTGCATTTGTTTTATGAACAGTCAAGTTTTTAATTTTTTAGGATCATAGGGACCTTATAGGTCAACTAGTCTAATACTCTTATTTTAAAAATGAAATTAAAATTTTGAATTTACAAAAAGAAATTTTCTTTCTCTCCCACCCTTTTCCCCACTGGAAAAAAAAAGAGAAAAGAACTACCCCATAGTAAATACAACACCTTCATTTTAAAGATGAGGACACTGAGTTCCAGAGAATTTAAGTGACTTGACCAACCTCACATAACAATTGTCAAAGTTGGAGTTGAATCTAGGTATTCCTGACTCTGGCCGCTAGGTGGTGTAGTGGATAGAGCACCAAGCCTGGAGTCAGGAAGATCTGATTTCAAATGTGGCCTCAGACACTTACTAGCTGTGTGACCCTGGACAAGTCACTTAACCTTGTTTGCCTCAGTTTCCTCACCTGTAGAATGAGCTGAAGCAGGAAATGGCAAACCACTCCAGCATTTTTGCTGAGAAAACCCCGAATGGGGTCGTGAAGAGTCGGACGCAACTGAAAACAAAAGAACAACAACAAAACTTTCTGACTCCAAGCCCTGTGCTCTTGAATATTGCCTACCTCAGAATATTTCTCCTTCTCCAGGTTGTTCCTGTTTATTTTTTTCATTTTGCATTGTTTTTAAAGTTATGTGATGTCATGAGTAACTCATAATTTAGTTCTGTATTTGTTGCCTTTAAGGAAGTAGCAGGATTATCACCTTCACATTCAATATATGTCTATCAAAACAAAAATATCTCTCAGCATCCTCCACTTCTTTCACCTAAAACTATATCCTAAATATTTTCTATTAGTTATAGATTGCCTCTCAGGTAAAAGATAGGAGGACCTACCCCAGAGATAATAGGAGCCCATTAGAGGAAGGAGAAAATATAATAGCATTAGAGTAAGGAGGGCTGGTCCCATGAGGGTTATCTATCAGTAAATAAGCTTGTCCCCTAGCTTTTGGCTCTTTGCCATATTTCCCCTAGGATTTTGAGAATGATCAAATCTTATTACCTTTCTTTCCTTCCTTCTTCCTTCCCTTCTTTTTTTTCTTTCTCTCTTTTTCTTCTTTCTCTTCCTCTTTCCGTTCTCCCCTCCCTCCTTTCCTGTTTATTAGACAGGGATAGATGAATAAGGAATATGGCTCTGTGACTTCATTGGCACAGAGCAGCAGATCTCAAACTTTTTGGCCTTAGGACTCCTTTACACTCTCAAAAAGTATTGAAGATCAATCCAAGAGCTTTTGTTTATGGGGCTTATATCTATTGATAGTTACTATATTAGAAATTAATAAGCCTTAGTATTATTAGCAAAATTATCAGTAAAACATTATTAGCAAAAGTTGATTTCATGGACCTCCTGGAAGGGTCTCAGAGACTCCCAGATGTCCTTGGACTATATACTATGAGAATTACTGGCTTAGAGAACTGCTGGATAAGGAAACTCCCTCTACTAATGCAGGTCCGAACCTTTTTTGCAACTTTAAGATTTGCTTCTATGGGGTAATGCAAAATAGGCATAACAAGACGAATTATTGCATCTTAAGGGTGCTGAAGAAACCGGTGTTAGTTCATGCTTATTATATATCCATCCAGAGAAGGACACTGCTTGAGTGCAAAATAATAATTAATATTACTTTAAGATGATATTATGATGATAAATTTGATAAAGTTGTTGATAAATCTGAATTTTCAGCTCTTGGATTCTGTCTTATGGCAGAACTGTGTTCAATATGAAAGAATCACTACATTTATAATCGCAATGAAGAAAATGATATTAAAAGAAGGAAAGAATAATGTACAGATACATACAGATGCCTTTGAGTCATAGATTTTGAGCTGGAAAGTGACTTCAGAGGCAATATAGTCCAAACCCTTATTTTACAGAGAAGAACCTAAGTCCAGAGAAGGTAAGTCAACTCATCCAAAGATACCCAGGTATTAATACCTGTGTGTTAATAAACCAGAAAGTAAATGAATCTAGGCTTTTTGGCTTCATATCTTTTGTACTTTGCCCTAAATCATGTTTTCTCCCCTTAAGTTCTTCAATTTTTGTAAACAGGTGGTGCTTAACTATCAGAGTAAGCATCTTAAAGGCCCTTTACTGCCTATTAGGTGCTGTTATAGGGACTTGGGGGAGAAGGGAAAAAATAGGGAGGCATAAAGGGGTAGTGGGAAGACATTTAAGACCTAATGGTTCATGTGCTCAGCAAATACTATTACCATGAAGAATTTCAAAATAGACTTCTTGCCAGCGGGTGAATAAAATATGTTTAATTTTAAACTAATACAATTTTGTTGCAAAATAAAAAAAAATGCTTGCCTTAAAAATACTTTCATGACCCCCAAAAACTTAGTGAATTGACTGTTTTTGTTGGGATTTGGAGAGAGAACTGATTTTATCTGTGTGCAGCGTCCCTGTATGAATGCAGAGTGGCTATTCTTCTGTAATTTATAGTCTTGTTATTTGTCCATGGTCACACAGAAGGACTTGAACCCAGGTTGTCCTGATTCCAAGGCTGGTTCTCTTCACTACATTGTAATACATCTTATCAGATGAATCAACTGCCAGACAATATTCTTTAAGACTGTGTCTATGTGGCCAGGCATGGTGGCCTACAATCCAGGGAGGCTGAGCTTACTAGATTTCTTGAGCTCTGAGCTGCTAGGAGCTAAGCCAATCTGGTGAACACATTAAGTTCACCATTAATGAGGAGAGTCCTGAGGTAGGGGTGGGGCACTGGTCAAAAATGGGAGTGGTCAAAGCTCTCTGACCAACCATTGTGGGATTGGCTAGTATAAAGTTGCCCACAGGTGTGACAGAGAGATCCAGTCTCAAAAACAAAAACAGAATTCATGTGTAGTTAGATTGAAATAACCAGTGAATTTAACCAACCATCCAGTCAGTTTAGCAGAAAACCTTGTCAAACTGGTTGTAGAGATATCTTTAAATGCTTCCATTAAAAAAGCAAACCAACATTGACCCTTAAATGATAGTGAAGAAGGCAACTAGATTTCAACAGTCACCTGAATCGGTTGTGATATTCCTGATTTATTTGTTTTTGAGAAAAAGACAATTCCATTGTCATACATGAATTTTAGAAATGCTCATTGAAGTGCACACAATTATATTAAATAAATTAAGTTACTCTTAAGAGAACACAAGCATGTTATTAAGGCAAAAATACCAACTTTTGTGAGATAAATTAATGTGAATGACCTTTTCTTGTTCCTGTTAAATGAAAGGAAGGCCTAAGGGCAAACTCATCAGTTTAGTTGCCCTCTGCCCAATTCTCATCATAAGTCATAGTTCTTCCTCACTAACTGGCCAGAGAATTGGGCTTTCTGGGCCCAAGTTTCTCCTTTCCATTCACTTTCTCCTATTGCAGATTTAGAATGGTTTGACCTCTGTGGGAATCAAAGGGAAATGAGGAAGGCACCTTAAAACACAAGCAAAAAAGAAAGCCTCAGAAGCCTGATAAAATTTGTTTGAACAATATTTGAAATTTGCCAATTGGTCCAGATGGACAGAGGTGTAGTATTCCCATGAGAGATCTGAAATGTTTGAAAACCTTGGTCTTACACAAAAGTGGTGTTTGTGATCAGATATTATCATGCCCAGATGGACATATAGAAGAAAGTAGGAAAATTCAAATTTAGAAAAAGTCAAATGGTTACTCAGTGCCCGGCTAATTGTGCTTCGAGACACCCTGTGGAATTTCCCAACTGGAATTTGTCCCAATATAAATCTGGGACCATCACTAATTTCCCATAGGATCTATGGACAGCAGTACATTATGTACAGTCCTACAGGATGCATGTACTTTCACATAATAAATCTATCATGTAATATCCAATAATTCTTGTGTAAAAAGAAAGATGGAGGCAGCGGTGATCACATATTCAAAGTAAACAGTTCAAGTTCTTCACAATACAGTTTACAGAGCTTAGCCATGATTAAGACTGCTGGGACAGGTGATTTTTTAAAAAAATTATTTTCCTTTTTCTTAAGTGAATTTTAAATTCTAATCAGGTCTGGCCTTAGAGTTAAACTCATAGGCATGTACGGATTATAGGCCAGATGTGCCGGCATACCTGGCTTGGAAGCTATATACACCTATGGTCAAACTGCCAAACCTGAGGCCTAGGTAGGTGTCCCTATACATTCAGAATTCTTGCTGCCAGTGGGGTTTTGATCCAGGACAGATTGTCCAGAAATCAGTGCTACCTGAAAGTTGTATCTCCTTTTTTCCCCCCTCCTGTCCATTAATATTTGTAAATTGCTTATTTGTTTGTAACTCCATTAATATTGAGAGCCCACTAAATGTATGGACTATATGAGGCTTTAGATAGGGCAGAGGTCTGGCTTGGTTGTAGCCTGATTAGGGCTAAATGGGGATTTAGAAGTGAAATAGGGACAGGAGGTCTATGAGCAGCTCTTGAAACTGGAAAAAGTAGATCTAAGTGAGAGAAAGAGATGAAGGGGCTAGGTAAGAAAGCCTAACTTCTAGTATCTGTGAAACCCACATGTTGAGGGAGATAGTTGGTTACATAGGATCTAAGAATTTTATTGAAAAAAAAATCTTAGACACAGACTGAGGACAATCCCCATACGTTCCTCAGGCTATTGTCCTGCCCTCTTCCACTGTGGCCTTGAGGACATGGCTGCCATATACAGTGATTGTTACTGGAAAGCATTGATTGTTGGAATTGACTCTACAATCTGGACAGGCCAAAGCATAACCTGTTTCTGAGTGCATGTGTGGCTGGAAGTAGACTTAGCCCAGCTGTGTTTGGAAGCATATTGGGATGCTGTTAGCAATACCCCTTTCTTGTGCTTTGAATTTAGTCGTGTCATTTTATCTTGGGACCAATGGTCTGTGAGTCCTCCTGCTACTTTGGGTGGTCTACTACACTGGTTTCTCACAGGCAGTCGTGCTTCCTGTCTGGGATTGAAAAAGGGCTGCTTTTGCTCTTATAAAACAGCTTTCTCATCTTTACTTTCCCATTAGACTCTCTGTTGGGTTTCTGTTACATGATGCATTTTGATTCTCAGACCCTTCTAGTCCTGGTAGATTTCTGACTGAATTTTCATAGCAGAGGATCCAAGCTCCCAGGTTGGTATTCTTGTACACTACACAAACCTTTCCTTAGTGTATAAAACATAGAGGCAGCTTGCATTTAGACATTTATATGGAGAGTGTACTCACGTTAGAGCAAATTACTCTCTGGGCATTGAAGAGAGACAATTAATAATATTCAACAATGAAGAGGCTTCCAAATGATCTTATTTTTTTTCTATGGAAAGGGAATGATTTGAGCCCAAAGTGGTGGTGCATACCTATAATCCTTGCAGTTGGAGAGATTGAGGCTGGTGGATTGCTATAATGTATAGCCTAATCTGGTGTCCCAACTACGTGATGCATCAATATGGGGGGCCCCTGACGGGGGGGCCCACCAGGCTGCCTAAGGTTGGGCAAACTAGGCATGCTGGAAAAATGGAGTGGGTTAAATCTTCTGTGTTGATAAGATTGAGATAAGTATTGGGACCTTTAATGGCTGCTGTACTTCTAGCTTGGGCAAGATAGGGGGAAGAGAAATGATTTACATGTTGAATCCATCCAAGAATTCTCAAATAACACTGCTCTTTCATCTTTTGATCTGCTCCTGCTATGTATTTTTCATTGGTTTGTTTTGCTTTGCTCACTCCCACTTTTGAGCCTTTTTTTTTCTTTTTAGGGGTAAGCCACTACTTTCCTGGTTGTTTTCTTTCATTTCATTCACTTCTTGCCTTACTTCAGGCCCACCTAAATTCTCCATCTCTCTTGGTTGTGCGTTGTACCATTGTCAGCTTTGTGGGAAAGAAACAGCTCCCTTGGGAGAGGAGGAACAATAGGGTCTATATTCCCTTTCCTTAGAGGCTCGGCTGTTAAAACACATTAATCTCAGAAGAGTTTAAAAGCAGCATTGGCATGACTTGGTGGGAGGCTGTGCCTCCATGACTGAAATAACTGGACCATGTCTCAGTCAGACCAGTTAACTTTGGCCGTCTTCCTGGCCAGTCTGGGTTATCCCATGGTCCAGTGGGTTGATTGTGCAGAAGCCAGTTGTTGCTACAGCCCCAAGCCTGGAATCAACCAATTTGGTTGGTCACAGTTGATTCAATTATCAAGGAAGAGCTTTCTCTAAACCTAATATCCCCCAATACTGGGCCAGTTTGTTTGCTTTTCCCACTGACCCTGAATCTTTTCATTTGCACATTTCATAGAAAAAGAATGTTCTTAGTGCAAAGAACAACTTGAAAGTGGTGTGTACACTCATTTACCCCAACTCTGTCACCCCAAAATTACAGAAATCAACATACTAAACTACATTAAGGGATAAATGATGGCCTAGGAATGACCTAACATGTCTATCTTGTGATGGTAGCCATTTCTAATATTCCCACATATACTTTTCTTGATACTTTGCCAGCAGCTGGAGATAGGCTTTTGGGTTATAAACATACACAATGGCCCAGTTTTGAAAATAACATTTTTGTATTTAACCATGAAGCAAAAGTGCCTTAAATTTGAAGATGTTTACTTCCATACTTTCAAAATACAATATTAATTTTCATAAATGCTCAAATTTTTGCCTTTTTTCATCTAGCCCATAGCATTAGTTGTGTAAGATTTTTTTTTCTTCAGGATTTTAACCTCTGGTACCTTATTATTAAATGAATGGGTTAATGTAGGTGTACCTTGGAATTTCAGCCATCTCTGAAACATGCATTTTCATGCAATTAGAAGATAATGGGCTCTTAAACTGCCTTTCTTATTCTTCCTGATTCTCATTACTTTATCTTTTAAAGAGGGCTTTCAAAATAGTTCATGCAATGATATGTATGACTAAAGGAAGTGCTAAGCCTAGAAAGAAAATCAAGAAATTATTTAAGTTTGACTTGAGGCAAGCTGAGTACATCTGAACTTTCCCCTGCCTTACAAATGCTTTGAGATGATCTTGACATTCCAGTCCTTAGAGAGTCAGAAGGGAAAGCTGTTTCCTTGGCAGGCTGAGAAATGCTATCCAAAGTCTCAGTTTCTGTCTCTTCTAGGCCCACTTCTTCATCAGTTATAAATAAAGTGGACTCTCTCCATTTGGGATAAAACTCTTGGCTGCCTCTGGAGCCCCCCGAGTCACTACCTGAAAGCTGCACATTCAGTTCCTCTGTTGATCTGATTAGGTTTTGTACAGATAATGATTTGCCCAAATCCTTCTGCACTGAAGGGCGAACAGACAGCAGGGTCTCTCCTCCCATGTCAAAGCTTTTTCTCAGGGAACGATCCTTAGTTGGGTTGGACTGGATAGATGGAACGCTTTCCTTTGAGGCAACGAAGCAGGCAGTGACATCAGAGATACTCTCCTGCATGGTAGCAGGGCTAATTTGTATGGGCTCAGGTTTGGGGATATGTTTGATGGCTGGGAGGGGGGGAATTTGTAAGGTGGTCGGGGCCACCGGCTTGGTCACCTGGTGTATTTGGTTTGTGATGTTGTTGGTGACCACCATTGCCGGTCCATCACTTTGACTCATTGGCACCGGTGTTGCTTGGCTATGCATAGTTGGGCTGAGAGCATAAAAAGTCTGAGTGCTGAACTCATTTGGTGTAAGTATAAACTGCAGGCCTCGGGAGATGTTGGCACTGGCTGACCTGGACAAACAGCCACTAGTTTGTGCGGAACTGGGCAGATCTTTGCTGTCCACAGGACTTTGATAATCGGATGTTTGTTCACATTCAAAAGGTGGAATTTGAAATGAAGCCAAAGTCAGGGCTGATGCAGAGCCTTTCCTTAGGACCTGTTGATATATGTCTAGTAGGCAGTCCAGTTTTGATTCTATAGACTGTACCTAAAAGGTAGAAAAATGGTACATATGAGTATAACATGTCATTATAGGATCATAGATTGAGGATGAGAAAGGTCCTTGTGGCAAATCCCCTTATTTTATAGATGAGGAATCTAAAAACAAGAGATGGTCCAGAAGGGTCAGTGTCAACTTACTGTAATTTCTCCTATCTGTGCACATATACTTTAAATAGAATTACAAGCAGTATTATAATTTTACTTTAAAAATTCAATTTTATTTTTAGCTCTAAATTTTGTCCCTTTCCTCTTCTTTCCCCTATCCATTGAGAAGGCAAGAAAAATAAAGCCCATTACAAATATGTAGTCATACAAAACAAATTTATGCATTAGCCATGTCAAAAAAAAAAAGAAAGAAAAAAGAAAATAAAATATGCTTCAATCTGTACTTCAAGTCCATTAGATCTCTATCTAGAGGTCCATAGTATGGTTAGTCAGTGAGTCTTTAGCATAGTTAAGTCACTGAGTCCTTTGGAACTGTGGTTGGTCATTGTGTTGATCAGAGTTCCTAGGTCTTATAAAGTTGATTACCTTTACAACATTGTTATTATTGTGTGAATTGTTCTCGTTCTGCTCACCTCACTTTGCATCAATTCATACAAGTCTTCAAAATTTCATCCTACTATCTCTAGTATATGCAAATTGACATAACTTGATCCTTCGAGGCATTCTTAAATTCTGGTCCTTCTAGTATTAAGTGGTTTGCACACCATACAGGCAGTCATTCTAGAAGAGCCAGGAATCAAACCCAGTTCCTTTGATTCTCAACTTAGGACTCATCCTAATGAATCACACAGCCTTACAATTTAATTCAATTAGCGTTTATTAAATACTTGCTGTGCTGTCAGGTACTGTTCTAGATTCTGGTGGTAAAAGCAAAAAAACAAAACAGAACACTGTGCCATTAAAGAGCTTATATTCTATAGGAGAATTTTCCTTTAGAATGTAGGAACTGCTACAGAAGTTTAATCTTACATCTGATACTGTGTGATCATGGGCAAATCATTTAGTTTCTCTGATGTAATATGCTTCCTCAAAATACGATTAATAATGCCTGTAGTACCTACCTCACAAGGTGGTTGTGTAACTCATATGAAATTATGTATGCAAGATGCTTTGAAAACTTGAAAGAGCTTTAGAAATGCCAATTATTGTTACTATTTGTATTGATTTTTGGCATCTTTTACTCTCCCTGGCATTCAGTATGTTCTTAATAAATGTTTATTGAATTAAAAGAAGCTTAATTCTAGGAGAAGTCTCTTATAGAATTGCTCCTTGAGGGCAGAGACTTTTTTATCAGGGAAACATCCAAGAATTATATGACAAATGGAGATAAAATTTCAAAGGTTGACAATTCTAGAATTCAAAATTAAAATGAATATGCATTCATTTTGCAATATGCATAACGAGAAATAAAGGACAATTACATGATATAGCAGAAAGGATGCTGGACTTAATCTGGAGGTCTAGTTTCAGATATTGGTCTTCCATTTAATAGCTGAATAACATTTAGCCAGCCACTTAATGTATTTGCATCTTAGTTTGCCTATCTATAAAATATGGCTAATAATATTTTTAGTATTTACCTTATAGGATTACTGTAGGGAAGACTTTTTTTAAACCTTAAATCACTATTCAAAGGTGAGTTATTAATTATGATTATTATTATTCAGACAGTTCTACTTAGATTATATATATATACATGTGTATATATACATATATACATACACACATATATATATATATATATATATATATACATATACACATATACACACCTACATATATAATCTCAGGTTAAATTATTTTGGTTAGGAGGCTGGATTATGTGTCTTTGTTTTACATATACAGACAGACCCTGAGAGTTTTTCTACTAGCTGTGCATTTATAATTAAAGCAACTTTTCCTTTATTAAAAATATATATAATGATAAATTGAACCAAGTTAGTGGAAACTAGAATAGAAGAAAAGCACGCCTTTGCCTTTCAAAAATGAAAACATGCAGTAGTTTCCAGCTCAAATTATTTTAATCATTGCAGTGAATTATTATATTTTTGTTTTTATATATATATATATATCCTAGAAAAAATACTATATATACATATATATATACATATATATATATATATGTATACCTAATATATTTTTCTATTTTATTCCTGCTGGGTTTTATCTTTCCCTCTGGATGTGTATTACCTGAAATATACTTGATCTCCTATGATCAGGCCAGATAGATGAGACAAAAGGAAGGCCAGACAGCTGCCCAGGCTAGCTGAAACATACCTGTTTCTCAACCTTGACCACACGGCCTAGCATGCTGAGGTCATCTGCTGTTTCCAGCTCTGCAGTGTTTTTCTCTCGGCTCTTCTTATCTGATGTGATTTGCCCTTTTCCAAGAATTTGATCGACACTGTTAGAGAATAAAATCGAAATGAGTATGGCTGCTAACCACAGAGACCTTGACACAGTCTGGTGGGTAAAATGATTTGAAAAGAAAAGGGAAATACAGTCATTTAAACATATGTTGAAAATGATTGGAAAAAAAAAGTTGACTTTGTTTTTGTTGGTTCTTGTTCCAAGAGATGTATGATTTTACTCAAGTAAACACACCTTTTTTCCCCTTCCTTCCTTCCTTCCTTCCTTCCTTCCTTCCTTCCTTCCTTCCTTCCTTCCTTCCTTCCTTCCTTCCTTCCTTTTCCTTCCTTCCTTCCTTCCTTTCCTTCCTTCCTCTTCCTTCCTTCCTTCCTTCCTTCCTTCCTTCCTTCCTTCCTTCCTTCCTTCCTTCCTTCCTTCCTTCCCTTCTTCCTTCCTTCCTTCCTTCCTTCTTCCTTCCTTCCTTCCTTCCTTCCTTCCTTCCTTCCTTCCTTCCTTCCTTCCTTCCTTCCTTCCTTCCTTCCTTCCTTCCTTCCTTCCTTCCTTCCTTCCTTCCCTTCCTTCCTTCCTTCCTTCCTTCCTTCCTTCCTTCCTTCCTTCCTTCCTCCTTCCTTTCCCTTCCCTCCTCCTCCTCCCTTCCTTCCTTCCTTCCTTCCTTCCTTCCTTCCTTCCTTCCTTCCTTCCTTCCTTCCTTCCTTCCTTCCCTCCCTCCCTCCCTTCCTTCCTTCCTCCCTCCCTTCCTTCCTTCCTTCCTTCCTCCTTTCCTCTCTCTCTCTCTCTTTTGTTTTCTTACCAATGCAGATGGGGTTATGGCCCCTTCATGCTAAAGACATTCTTCCTTGAGTTGCCATGGCCGCCTCCCTCCTCCCCGAAAAAACCCAAAACAAAACAAAAAATCTTTACCTGGTGGCCAGAATCTAGTGATAGAGCCTTCCAAATTTAGCTAGATTGGTTTTCAGATGACAGAGACAGAATCCCAGAATCATAGAATCTAAGAGCTGGAGAAACTTTCAAGGTCACCTAGTCTAGGCCATCTATAACCAAGAATCCTACTAACAATATCCCTCATTGGTCATCCAGCTTCTGCTTGAAGATCTCCAAAGAGGGGTAACCCACTAGCTGTTGAGGCTCATTCCACTTTTGGACAGTTATAATCATGATGAAATCTTTCCTGCCAGCAACCCCAATTTTGTCTGCTTTCAGCTTCTACCTATTGCTCCTAGACCTCTTTGGGACCAAGTAGAATAAATCTAATCCTTCTTCTGATGCAACCCTTGAAATAATTGCAGAATGCAATTGTGTTTCCCCCTCTCTGTCTTGTATCTTCTCTGACTGGTATTCCTATGGCATCCTCTCAGTTTTTCACACCATCCTGTTCATCCCCTTCTGAATGGACTTCAGAGTGTCTATGCCTTTCCTGAAATGTAGGGCCTAGAGCTAAACACAACACTTTAGGTGTGACTTGACTAGGACAGAGTTCAGGACCAGCTTGGTGCTGTGGATAGAGTGCTGGACTGGGAGTGAGGAAGACTTGGATTCAAATTATTCCCTGGACTCTTATTAGCTTTGTGATGCTTGATCAGTCACTTAATCTCTCTTGGCTTCAGTTTTCTCATCTGTAAAATGGGAGAGTTCTCTTAACACAGCTTAGGTGGTGCAGTGGATAGAGTACCTGGCCTGGAGTCAAGAAGACTCATCTTCATGAGTTCATATCCAGCCTCAGATACTTACCAGCTATGTGTCCCTGGGCAAATCACTTAACTCTGTTTGCCTTAGTTTCCTCATCTGTAAAATGAGTAGGAGAAGGAAATGGCAAACTACTTCAATATCGAAACCCCAAATGGGATCAAGAGTTGGACTCAACTGAAAAATGAACAACTACATGTATACACACACACACACACACACACACACACACACACACACACACACACAGATGACTAGCCTTAGTCAGGAGGACTTGTGTTCAAGCCCTGCCTCTGATACATATCAACCATATAACCAGGAGCAAGTCATTTAATCTTGTAGTGCCTCTGGCAACTAAGACTTTACATTACTGATTATTTGAGGCAGCTAGGTGGTACAGTGGTTAGAGCACCAGCCCTGATGTTGAGAGGCCTTAGACCAAATCTAGCTTCAGACACTTACTAGCTGTGTGACCCTGAGCAAGTCACTTAACCCTGATTGCTTCCAAAAAATTTTGTTGATTACTTGTACAGAATTTTCATACCAGGAATTCTCTACAATAATGAAATCATAGGAACAACAACAATAACAACAGCATGTGGGGAAAGGGTGCCATAAAGTAAACTGTATTTTGTGTGTTAACATCTTTGTTCCACCTATCCTACGGGACGATTATCATTATGAAAAGCACTTTGGAAGCCTTAAAGAGCTACAAAAAGATGTGATCACTATCACCATCATGACTGTTTTTATGTTTCGTGGGTGGCCAGTAAAGGGAACACTCACTAATGAGGTCACAGATCATCTAAGTGTTATTATTCTCTTAAAAAAAGGTTATCAAAATTGAGGTTATGATTATTTTCTAGCTTGGGAAAGGCAAGTTATATGTGGTTTTGTAGGAGTTAGTGATTGAAATAAAGGGAATTGATTTGGTGCCATTAAATCTTTTTTCCCTCTCCTTACAGCATAAACAATTTCATTATAAAATAATGTAAAGTTCAGTATAAAAATTTAGGGAGTTAGACAGCAAATCCTTTTAAAGAAAAGCTTGAAATGATTTATTTACCTAGGGGTAAAGTAAAGTGAAGAATTAGAATAGTTACTGGGCCATATGCTCCTTGAGGACAGGTGGTGTCTTTTCTCATAGAGGGATAGAGTGCTGGCCTTGGAGTTATGAAGACCCAAGTTTAAATTTTGCTTCTGATACTTCCTGGTTATGTGCTCATGGTGATCTCTGAGCCTCAGTTTCCTCATATGTAAAGAATGGATGATAATACCTGTAGTATCTCCTTCACAAGGTGTTTGTGAGGTTCATATGAGATTATGTATGCAAGATGCTTTGAAAAACCAAAAGCTGTAGAAATGCCAATTGTTATTACTATTTGTATTAATTTTGGCATCTCTCATTCTGCCTGACATCCAGTATGTTTTAAATTAATATTTATTGAATTTAAAGGAACTTAATTCTAGGTGAATTTTGTCCATGTTGAAAACAACAACAATTACAACTTGCTTCTATCTTAACTGTGGGTCGGAACTGAATTGCTTGGACAATTATCTCAGCTTTCTGTTTCATTATACACATGAAGGCTATACCTATCCGAAGCCCAGTTATTTGGTCTGTAAGATTGTAAGCTTCTCCATTCAGTTAATCAATCTATTAATCAATCAACAAACACTTACTATGTTCCAGGCACCAAGTGAAGTGCTGGGGAGCACAGGAATTATTTCATTCATTTTTATATCTTCCATAGCTCTTAGCTTAGTATTTCCTACATTTATTGTTGTTGTTCAGTTGATTTCAGTCGTGTCCAGTTCTTTGTTTGGAGTTTTCTTGACAAAGATACCGAAGTGGTTTGCCATTTCTTCTCCTGCTTATTTTACAGATGAGGAAACTGAGGCAAACAGGGTTAAATGACTTGCCCAGGGACACATAGCTAGTAAGTATATGAGGCTAGATTTAAACTCATGAAGATGAGTCTTCCTGACTTCAGGACCTGCACTCTATCCACTGTGCCACCTAGCTACCTTTCTCTTCCTACATAGTAAGAGATAAAATTTGAATTATTGAATGAATACAAAGAATTAATTAATAAGCATTTATTAAAAGTATATTATGTCTAGTATCTCGCTCCTTTTGTGTGTTTGCATATGTAGGGAGTTATGCAAGAAATACAGGGTCTCCCAAAATTTGAGTTCAGCTTTCTGGGGAAAAAAAAAAAGCTTAACACTGCACCAAGACTTTTGGGACACCCTGTATAAGACTTGGTTCCTGATTGTAGGAGCTCTTTGATAAGAAAAGTCCAGCAGTCTGAATGTTTGGACTTGTTTCAACAAAACATTGAGATGTCTAAGGCTGTGAATGAACTGATCAGATATTTTGGTTGAAAGTAAACAGGGTAAAAACATCCTTGACATTTTCACGGATAAATTGATTTCAACCAATTAGTGAAGCATTTATTTACTTCTATACAGTGTCCAACTTTTCTGGCAATATAGAAATAATTAGAGAAGGCTTTGTCCTCAATTTAGTAATATTGTGTGCTCCTTGAGGGCAGGAACTATCTTTCTATTTTGTATTTGTATCCCTAGAGCTTAGCACCATACCTAGGACATAGTGTGGAACTTTAAAAAATGTTTATTGATAATTGACTTATTAATCATTTAGGGGAAAGAAGACCAACAAACATAAAATAATGAGTAAATCACATAAGATGTTACAATGAAAGGATAAATTCTATGGTACAAAGAAATTTTGTAGTAGTTCTAAGAAGAGAAATCTCAACATTGGAAGTTGTAGGAGAGTGTGAGATTTGTTTTGCTTTTCTTTAGTCTGACTCTTTATGAACCCATTTGGAGTTTTCTTGGCAAAGATACTGGAGTGGTTTGCCATTTCCTTCTCCAGGAGGAAACTGAGGCAAGCAGGGTTAAAGTGATTTGCCCAAGGTCACACAGTACCGGAAGTCAGATTTGGACTGAAGTCTTTTTGATTCCAGGCCTAATAATCTACCAACTGTTGAACAGTTAGGATTTGTATAGTTGGATGGAATAGGAAGACTGGTTTAGATAAGGAAGAAAACCATGAGTAAAGGCATTTCTATAAAAAAACAAAACAAAACAACTTTTTTGAACAAAAAAGGTCACTGTAGATTTCATAAGGGTGATCTTGTATTAAATGTTCAAAGAAGATTAATTTGATAATACTTTCCTTTATAGATGTGATGGGGCTCTATGTGAATGGAAACCTTATTGCATGCTTCAGAACAGGGACTGCTTTTCATTCTGTCTTTATGTTCCCAGACCCTAGCAAAGTGCCTGGCACATGGCAGGTGTTTGATCAGTGCTTGCTAAATGGATTACAATATCACCTCAAGAATCTGGTTGATCAGTGCTTGCTAAATGGATTACAAGATCACCTCAAGAATCTGGTTACCTTCTTGAAGGTTAGTTATGAGCAAAAGTTCTGGTAGGACTTACCAGGTTAGTGGGGCTTTTAATAAGATGGCGATGGGGCCAATGTTGTGACCTGAGGAACAAATCTCAGGGCCAGTACATATGTACATTCCAACTATGGAAAGAACCAATTTCTTACCGTGTTTGAAGACTCTTGATTCTACAAAGCATATCCAGATGTCCCGCAGAGTACTGTTCAATGACATCTTTCACATCATAGGGACGCAATGTCTCTTTAAACTTCCTTTTTGCAACATGAAACTTCATAATTCTGCAAAAATAATACATTTCCAATGACTCAATCTTCTTGGTTAAATAAGTCTCTGAAGTTGGTGTAAAAGTAGACATAACTACAATACTTCTGTGATCTCATTAGTGTGGAGATTCCCTCTAACCATGGAGACTAAAGGATTTCCAGCTATGCCTCAAAAGTATGCCATAAGAGGTCCCCAAAGTGCTAGGGGTCTTCCCCAAATTGTCTAGACATCATAAAAAACAATAATTCAACAAATTATTTATTTTAACAATTTTTTCATAATATTTCTAAAAAAAATTTTTTATTCATATCTTTTGTTTTTCATCACCTACATTTCCTGATATAAGGGAGAAATCCCTTATAACAAAGGAAAAAAACCTAATAAAAAACCACCGCACAGTTTAATATAACTAACCAACATTGCAGAAATAGTTTGACATTATATGCAGTGTTCCATACTTCAGAGAAGCTGGGGGTGGGGTAGGAAGGAGGGAATGGGGCTTTTCATATCTCTTCTTTGGGGCCAGTCTTGGCCATTATAATTTACACCATTCAGTTTTGACTTTTTTTTTTGTTCTTTCCATTTATATTGTTTTTTAATTTATTTTTAATTTTTTGTTAATGTATTTATTTTTAGTTTTCAACATTCACTTCCACAAGATTTTAAGTTCCAAATTTCTCCCCATCTCATCCCTCCCTCCACCCCAAAATGGCCTGCATTCTGAATACCCCTTCCCCTAATCTGCCCTCCCTTTTCTCTCTCCCTCCTTTTCTTATCCCCTTCCCCTTCTGTTTTCCTGTAGGAAGGAAAACCCTGCCCTATTGCCCCCATTGCCTGTAAACCCCATTGTCTGTATATCTTATTTCACAGTTGCATGTGAAAACAATTTTTAACATTTGTTTTTAAAACTTTGGGTTCCAAATTTTCTCCCTTCCTCCCTCCCCACCCACCCCTCATTGAGAAGGCAAGCAACTCAATACAGGTTATACATGTGTAGTCATGCAAAACACTTCCATAGTAGTCAAGTTGTGAAAAACTAACTCTATTTCCCTTCATCCTATCCCGCCCCTCATTTATTCTGTTCTCTCTTTTGACCCTATTCATCCTCAGAAGTGTTTGCTTCTGATTACCCCCTCCCCCAATCTGCCCTCCCTTCTATCATCCTACGCCCATCTCCCCCCTTATTCCATTTATATTGTTGCAGTCATTGTATAGGGCAGTTAGGCGGTGTGGTGGATAGAGTGTTGGCCCTGGATCTTCCTGAGTTTAAATCTGGCCTCTAACACTTACTAGTGGTGTGAGCCTGGGCAAGTCACTTTAACCCTGTTTGCTTCAGTTTCCTCCTCTGTAAAATGAGCTGAACAAGGACATGGCAAACCTCCCTGGTATCTTACCAAGGAAACCCAAATGGGGTCATGAAGAGTCAGACATGACTGAAAACGACTAAGCAACAATCATTGTATATAAAATTTTCCTGGTTCTGCTTGTTATTCTTTGTCCTTTGTTCTCAAAGAGATCAATAACGTCACAAAGGTGATGTCTTGACTTGCTTATGAATTGGAGTTAAGTGAAGCAGAGCTGCACAAAGGCTTCACTTTTTGCCAGTTCACATAAGTCTTCTCATGCTTCTTTATATTAATCATATTCATTATTTCTTATGGCACTATGGTATTCCATTACATTCATTGACTGTAACTTGTTTATCTACTCACCAACGGGTTCACATCATTTCCAGTTCTTTGCTATCAAAAAAGTTCTACAATAAATATTTTAGTATAATATAGGTTCTTTCTTTTTATTATTGACCTCCCTGAGGTATATACCTAGCAATGGAATCTCTGGGAAAAGTGAATATTCAAATACACAGTTCAAATATTATTAGCTCCATTTCATGAATGAGAAAGCTGAGACCCAGACAAATTAAATAACTCGACCAAGGTGGCAGCTGCTTTAAGTGGCGGAACTCAGCTCTTTTGACTCCAGGTTCAGTGTTCAATCTAATATACCATGGAACCTAAGACTAGTTTGGACTAATTGGAGTAAATATCCCAGGCCTGTCACATTTTGATTCTATAGGAAAAAAAAAACCTGGGTAATAGGATTTAGAAATCTCTAGTTCTGCTTTTAAAATTAAGGCCAAAAGGCAATCCTGCTTCCCCCCCCCCCCAAGTGATTAGGAAAGTTGAAAGGTTCAGACCCAGTTCCTAGAGATGGCATCTATTTAGAAATTGTTCTTGTGGTTGAGGTGGTCTTTTATAAATCTAACTTCCAATTTCAGAGATGCAAGTGTATATTCAGAGTTGTTTTATTGTTAGACTTAGAGAAAATCCTTTAAAGGACATATAACTATCTCCTTTTGTAAGGACAATAATAATAATACTCTAAGGTCTGTATCTCATTTGAGCCTCATAACAACCCTATGAAGTAGGTATTATTATTATCCCCATTGCACAGGGAGTGAAACTGAGCATTGAAGAGGTTGTGTCTTGCCCAAGGTCACGCAATGAATAAACCCAGTAAATAAATGTCTGAGGTAGGATTTGAACTCAGGTCTTCCTGACTCCAAGTCCAGTTCCACTGTGCCACTTAACTCTGGGGCACCCCTACCCCCTACCCTAGCTAAAGACAACTATGTGGTAGGCCAACAGTTTCTTATAATATACTAATATGATTAAATTTTTGGGTCTAGCCTTGTAATTTCATTGGTGTGTTGGGAACACCTTTCCTCCTTCCTCCCCTAGATCAGAGGAGATTGGGTAAACCTGCTCCTGGTCACAAAGTTAGAATTATGAGAGGCAGGTCTTGAGCAAGGCGTTTCTGACTCCCAGGCTGGTCCTCTACTACACTGTGATGCCTCTCATGTCAACTCATGTTTTTAAAAAAATCCTAAAAGCATTCAAAGATTAAGATAGGAGAAAAAAAACCAAACAGATTAAAACAAAAACTCACAGAAAATAAACCTATCCATGGGAAATGTATACTCCCATACATATGCCTGCCAGTGTGTGTGTGTGTGTGTGTGTGTGTGTGTGTGTGTGTGTGTGTGTGTGTGTGTGTGTAAAAGCACATTTGAATACAGGAACTTGTAATATAAAATAGGCTAGATTCTCCCAGGAACTCAAAATGGGTAGACTGTATATAGTTAATTGTCCACCGAGGAAGAAAGATCCAGTGCTCAGAAAGCTATGTAACAGCTCTTCTGTTTTCAACACAATACATTCCTTATTGGATGAATCATTTGCTTCTCTGTCTTTTATATCAGAGAAATTATGGCATCAACAACTTCTAATGTATCAGTGCTGTTTTTGGGATGGGCTTTTCCTACTGTAGAGCTGAAAACTTAGTGTATACATGCAGTTGTTTCTCTATAATCTGTATTTACTTATCCCTTCTCCCCTCCATTATTTTTTCCTCTTATCATGTATTATTTTCTTACAGAAAGATTTAAGAAATCAATTAGAAGATAACTGATTGCAGGACAGTTTGTTTCAGTTTAGCACCTTGTTATTTTGGTATGGTGATGATGACAGTTAATATTTATTTAGTGCTTAATGATTTTCAAAGTGCTTTGATCCTCACAACAGCTATTGGAAGTAGGTGCTACTATTATTCCCATTTTACGGAGGAGAAAACTGAGTTTGAGAGAGGTTAAGTGACTTGCTCAGAGTCACACAGGTAGTAAACATCTGGGGAGGCATTCAGAGGTCTTCCTGACTCTCAAGTCCATCACTCAATCCACTATTCCACATTACTTCACTATCTGTCTGGTTTTTCCTTTATCATTTTTGTAGAAGCTGACTGATTTTGAGCATTTTTGTCATACTTCAAAGAATTTCAAGATACTTGTCTGGCTTTTGGTTGATTAGTGGGTCAGGTTACCATTTTGAAACAGCTGAAAAAATGGACTCAAGGAAAAGTTTTCTAATGGGTGTGATTGTACTGACCGAGGGCCACAGGACTGGGAGTCTGCATGTCATCCAACAGTAATATTAGGAGTAGAGATGGTTTGAGGCTATAGTGTCATGGCCCATGAAAGCTAGTAGGCCCTCATTTGCTCTACTTTAAGCTGCCTGCTATCACCTAGTCATCATATTTCATACAAAAGCATTAGCTAATTTAATTTTTATTGCACATAACTTACTGTCTGTAAGCTAGCCAAGACTAAGGAAAAAAAAAGCCCATGGTTTATCATTGTGATCAATATTATTATGTACAATGCAAGGCAATGAAGCTGGCAGGTTTTATTATTTCTGTATGACAAGAAGATGAAAAATACGCAAAATGGGTTTTAAAATGTTTTAAAAGCCACCAGCTTGTTGCTTCACAGAATACTGGCCTTCCAAGTGGCATGGGCTGCCATGTTAATTTATCAAAACTAAACTCTGAAACATGGGATGTGTAATGTTTTGAATGTTTGGAACTGAGCATATGAGGCAGGATTAAGGACTAATCCCTAATTAAGGACTAATCATTCTAAATAAGAAGTGGAACAATTTTTCCTGTTCTTGGAGGTGGGAATGGGGGAAGGGGCTAAAAGATAACATGACAATAGCTGATATTGCTGTAGTCTTGTAAAATTTGCGAAGAGATTTATATACATTATCTCTTTGGAGTCTATGAAGTAAGTACTAGAAGTCATAGATTTAGGACTAAAGGGTATTTAGAGGACCCAGTCAAATCCTCTCATCTCACAGATAAGGAAACTGAGTCCCAGAGAGGTTAAGTGACTTGTCCAATATCACACAGGTAGCAAGTGGCAGAGCCAGGTCTTCTGACTTAAAAACTTAGTGCTCTTTCCGCTGAACCCTACTGTTTCCCTCAACAATAAACAATCAGAGAGACAAGAAGCAAGATAGGAATCTTCTGATTCAGTTAAATACATTTAAGAAAACAGAATGGATTTATAAAACTAGCTGATTTTCTATTAATTTAAAACTGCTTACAGAGTGTGATGATTCTCCATGTTTTCCCAGAGATGATCAAGAAGAAAGAGATTTACACTCCTAGGCTCTGC